CACGGTATGCGAGGTCCTATGACGCAACCCTTTTTTGTCCCCCCAGAGGATTGAATCAGAGTAGGGGGATATATCCCCCTGGGGGAAGGATTGAATACCGCCCCTGGTAGGTTCTACACCGCAAATAGGCATAGAGGGGATGTGAAGCATACAACGAGGTTGCTACCTGGTTGAGGAGGCTGCGCTAATTCCGCCTGGTCTAGGAGCATAGGGCATTCCCTGTGTGAATGCGCTGATTGATCGGAGGTTGAATGTGATGGTAGCTTATCGTATTCGAAATCGGAGCGGTACAACGACGGGGGAGGAGGAGAGAATGTTGCGCAATGCGCGTATTTTTATGAAACATGGTTTTCGTTCAATGGTAAGGTAGTTTCTCCGAAAAGCTTATCTTTTCGTATATGTTTATAGAGGTCTCATCAAATATAGCGTGACATTGAGTGGTCAAAAAACACTTGTTTGGTGTTGACACTTGATTGCCTATCATACAATTGGTTCTTGTGAAAAAGTTTGCAGTTTTGCAGCGATATGCATTGTCAATCACACCATCTTTTACATAAATTTCCTTTACAGTACTCATGTATCGACTCTAGTCCGATCTCGATGTACATATCGCATCCGTTTTGGAATTGGCTAGTCACTGTAAGTTTGCTTCCTTTTTTTCTTCTTTTTTTCACCGTTCTTACTCTTAAATCCATTGACATCTCGTGGGATTGAATAGGCAAACTCTGGTATATTTTGATGGCTTTGGGGTGCCGGAAGAGGAGGGGGGGGTGTGAGTGCTGTGGCTGTTTTTTAAGCCGGTTTTGCAATGCACTTTATCTGCGCGCGATCAGTTGTTTCGAACGTGCAACTGTGGAATGGAGTACATCCATTAAATGTAAATGTACGGTCAACCTTTTCTTTTCATTACGTTCTTATTTGCCATCATTTTCCTCTCAACTAGAATTGGATCTGTGTTTTTCACATCGAACTTTTTACTGCAGTTGAAGACTGTACTTATGACTTCGAAAATATCATGGTTGTAAATGATAAATTCTCCTGGAAAGTGGTCCTTGGTTCTTGTATCTCGTAAAAGGTGAAAATGTCGACTGTATGAGTGACGTATATATACCCTGATTTCAGTTTTATCCGAGAACATGGGCTCCAAATGTGCTTACGCTTCTCGGATGGTCACTTGTGATGGGTTGTTTTCTGTTGGAATCAGTGCTTGACTACGATCTCACCGCAAATAATGAAGGATCTGATCATCCTGTTCCTAACTGGTGCGTTGCCAATACAACTGAGGGGTCTATTTCAGTCAAGGAGGGCATCATGATGCAATTTCTCGGCGAACTAGTGTAAAATCGAACATACCCAGCTTTGGCCGATGTCAGACTTTGCGAATGCAGCGATTCGCTAGCGAGTCGCTGGATTTGCACCGTCTGACGTCGGCCCTTTAACAAATGTCAAGCGACTGGCCGATGTCAGACTTTGCGATTGGAGCGATTGTGCACAAATTGCAGGAGCGACGGATCGCTTGAGCGATCCGTCGCTCCTGCAATTTGTGCACAATCGCTCCAATCGCAAAGTCTGACATCGGCCACTCGCGTCAACCCCACCCCCTAACACGACTGCCGCACACCTTGGGTTTAGAAGTTATGTACGCTTGCTGGGAAAACTGGCATCATGAAGCCCTTCTAACTGGAATAGACCCCAAATGAGTTTTTTTTTCTATTGGAGTGGCCCTATAGCCGTCTGTATGTGTACCGTCTGAGCTTTTGATTAAGGTTCTGGTTAACAGCAGCGATTTGTACCTTCCTTGGTTACACCTTAGACGGTACAGATGGGAAGCAAGCAAGGCGAATAGGTGCTTCTGGACCTACTGGAGAGTTGTGTAAGTTATGAGCTTTGATAAAAGATTGTGACCCTGTACTGCAGGGTTTTCAGTATGTTCACAAATGTTTTGCTAGTTTTTCTTACAAAAAGTCATCCTTTTTCTAGTTGATCACGGTCTTGATTCGTGGTCTACGGTGCCATTCACAATCACCATCTTTTCTGTATTTGGAAGAGGTGAATTCAGGTGAGTCCAGTTTCATAACGTATTTGTTGTGTTTGATTCAATCTTAGGTGTTCCTTCGAGCTGTTCTGTTCAAGGTACTTCACCTCTTTTCGTATTGTGACTGATTCATGGTCAAATTCCTCTAACAGCGCTACTTTTAGCGTCTCTCCTGTACATCTGCTGTGTATTTTAATAAGTGTACAGATTGTGTTCCTTGTTACGCATTGGGAGAAGTACAACACAGGTGTTCTATATCTCTCATGGGGTTACGATGCTAGTCAATACGTGAGTAGTTTTTGACTTATTATAAGAATTTCGCTACATAGATTGCAAACAACACTCACAGTTTTTAGGCATTAACATTTGTTTATCTATTTACTTATCTTGTTGGTTATGAGTGGTTCAAATTTTATGTCTACAAAAACATTACTTTTGCCGATATTTTTGAGGCCAGCTTTTATGGTGAGTTTTTTGATCTCTTTTTCAAGATTCGGATTTCTTTTCAGTTTTTTTTTGAAGATTTTCTAACTCCTGTTCCGCTATATTCTTCTTTTTTGCGCTCGCTATTGGCTGTTAGGTCTATTCCGTATAAGTGGGATGAATTCATTTTCTGATGAATGCTTTTTGAAGGGCACTTTTAGCACCCTCCTCATCTTATAGTGTTACATAATCAATCTATCTCGTCCAGGGCATTCACATCTAAATATTTTTTCCTCACATACATTGACATAGGACTGTATGCTTTTCTTTTGGTTAGGGCGTCCTTCTTCCCAGAGGAATAGAGTACAACCTTGTTAGACGTGATGCTCAATTGACGCACGAGCATCATGGATCGAGGGGAGCAGATGATTACGCATACCGCACCGCAGTACGGTTATTTCAAAGCCCATCCTACGAGTCTTCTCTTTCTAAGCAGCAATTTGGGATAGATAGAAGGGATGCAGTGGAATCAATGAGCATAATTTAACATCGCAGTCGGAAACTTCGCCTGGGTGGAAATTTTAGGCGATTTGCTCCCCAGCTATCCTTGGGTGTGGGTCACTACAACAGAAAGTGATTTTTTCGTCTAACGAAGCGCGAAACTTTTTGCTGTGGGAGCTCTGAGCCCACCATTGATCCTTAGCACCTGGAATTTCTGCAGAGGAAAAGTTTCGCACTGCTAAAATCGAAAATTTAATTCTTTCTTAGCGACTTACACCACCATCCTTGTCCGACCATGGGCTGTAGTTTTACTCTGATGATGATTCTGCGATTGCTTTTTGACTAATCTTAAGATCTAGTTCTCTGTGGCGTAATTGTCATATTTCAGCTTGTTGTCTTGGATCTTTAATAATGTCTGGTTATAACATGTGGTATTCGTATGCTGTGGATCACACTTTTAAACAGGTGAATCTTTTTCCTTGAGTTTTTCAAATTGAAAAGTCGCGCTTGCTTAGTGATCGGAGTTGAGCAATCCTTTCGGAATGTGCCATGTACCTTACTCCATTCCACTGTCGCGAAAGCATTTGTAGGTGTATCCAACTTATACGATGAGCTGTCAGTGTAGAATAAACGCGCTTTAAGCCTCCAGGATTGCTCTCTGGTGCAAACCTCCCATTTTGCTGGAATGAAGGGGATCCCGCTGTGGTGCTGGTCGCCTCTGAGCTCCTTGTGCTTGCCCACTAGTTTCTGCTTGCATATCAGCTCGAACTACACATAATACTATTTTTCAGAAATCTGTGTATGAAGCAGTTCGTCCGGTGATTCCTTGTGTCATGCTGTTTGCTGTCTCCATATCGTGGGCTGTGTTCTCTCGCACTGATGTCTTGCGGAACTGATCCACGAACATTTTTCTTTGCTATGGGTACCGTATTCAGCAATATTGCTGTGAGTTTTGAATATTTTCGTTTACTGCAAGTGGGCAAACCCAGTGAGCATTAACTTGTTAAATGCATTGAAATTCCCTTGTTCTGTCGGCCACAACACTTTCCAGGCCACACCTGGAACTTTTCGGATCAAATTCGAAAGAAAGGTGGTGATTAGTAGCAGTCAAAAAGTGGTCGATGTTGAGACACTTGTGGTTCAGCACCCTTTAAGACATGGAATAATTGCCAGTGTAATAGTTCTGTCATTTTTTTGCTTCCGTAATAAGGAGAGAATTCCGTCCCAACTTGCGGTCCGGCCCCGGCACAGCCTTAGGGCCTCAATTATTTCACATAGCATTCAGACTTCACGTGGTGCCATAGTGCACCCCGGAGCAATAATCTGATCTGGGTTCATCAAAAAATGGCAAAGATATAATTGAATCCTTGATAACTATAGGAGATTCTTTGTTTAGTGCCGTCTAATAATCGCTCAAATGTCTAGTCATCGATGTGAGATCATGAATGCACTACTTACAGGCTACGCTTTCGTCGCAGGTTTGTCATTTTGTGTTCCGTAGTGTTTTCTTTCAATATTCCCTGTTCTCTAACTAATTCTGTTGTTGTGTGGTGTAGCTGAAGTAAGGCTGGTGTCAGAGTCCGCGATCCGTCGCAGGTTTCGCTGATTTTCGCGATTTTCGCGATTTGCGCGAAACCTGCGATGGATCACAGGAGTTGGAAGTGCCCGATGAATACTGCGAGGTGCCGTTAATCCTGCTGCGAATTCTGCTTGACAGTGAAGATTGAAAGACGACTGTTCGTGATTCTGCCCTATAACGTGAAAAAGTAGGGGGTTGATCGAGGGCACTTTCAATTCCTGTGATCCGTCGCAGGCTTCGCGCGGATCGCAAAAATTGCAAGTGCCCCATTTGAACATTTGAAACACTGAATATGAAACAAGTGGAATCATGAGCAGTCGTCATTCAGCCATCACTATCAAGCAGAAGTGACGGCGGGATTGGAAAACGCGAAAATC